TATTGTATAATAAAAAATCTCTATTTATCTTAATACCAGACCCTAACTCTAAGTAAAACATAAGGGTGTTATATTAACATGGTGTTATAAATATAATATTTCTCAAAACAAATATATCAAAAAAAATAGATACTAATACTAAGAAGTTTAAATCTATATTAAAAATTTAAAAAAATTATTACTAAAAAGAAAAAAATCTGCTAACTAAACAAAATTTCTAACTATACAAAAAGTCTATTATCTGGTACAAGAATCTTAACAAAAAAAAATAAAAAAAAATATACTAAAACATATATACTGTATAAGGTTTAAAAATTATATATATATAATTTTAAAATTTTATATATTTTTTGTTTTATCACTTTTGTTAACTTTATTTTAAATCTATAATTGAATTTAAAGTACTAAAAAAAGAGCTTTATATAATTTTATTCTATGGTTTTTATTTAAACTTCCATACTATTTCTTTATATTTATTGTCTGAATTTTGGACTGATCTGGATTTAAACCAAAATTTTTTTTTTGCTACAACTATATAAAGTTCTTTTTTTTTTTTTTTTTTTTTTTTTTTAGCTACAATAATTTAAAATTTGAATTACTTTATTTAAGTTAAAGTTTAAAATTCTTTAAAATGCAAAATTATTTATTTAACTATAATATACAGTATTTGTTCTAATTGTATAATATATATTTATCATTACTATACTTACTATTTAAATATAATTTTAACATTTCTGAAATTCTGAAACTTGAAAATATTGGTAGTTCTATTTTTTGTCGTTTTAATATTTTGGGTTTAATCTTGAATATTTTTAAATAGAATTTGATTCTTTGTCAATTTAATTTATTGAGTTTGGTCTTGAATATTATTGAATAGAGTTTGATCTTCAGTTATTTCAATATGTTGGGTTTGGTCTTGAATATTTTTGAATAGAATTCGAAATGGCTTGTTCAACTTTGCTTAAATTTCTTTGCATATAAGCTTTGGTTTTTTTTTGTAAATAATTTGATGTGAAACTTGTGTAGCTGTAGAATTAAATTCATATTGTATGACTGAAGAAGTATCTTGCATAACTTGTTGTATAATTTAAAATTTTTTGTGTTGTGTAATTTGAACTTCATGTTGTATAACTTGAGACTCTTTATATTGTATGGCTTGAGATTCATCTAGTTGTATAACTTGAAAATTCTCTTGTCACATAATTTAAGATTCCTCTTGTTGCATTTCTTGTTGCATAACTTGAGACTTCTCTTGTTGAGATTCTTCTTGTTATACAATTAAAGATTCTTGAAGTGCATTAAGTAACAAGATAAAATTTTTAAGCCATTATTTATTATTAGGAATTTTGTAAGTGCGTAACCTATTAGTTAAATGGTAACCCAAAAATTATATCATTTTATATTTATTAATATTAAGATCTGATAAAAGTTGAATAGCAGTTCTTCTTTCCAAATAATTAGTAATTCTTTGATCAGTAATGTTAATATCTGAGATATAAGCAATTTCTTTTATTATATTACTTAAAGTATTTTTTCCTAATCTTTCTTTACCAAACTAGTTTTCATTATTAATTTCTTAAGCATTCCTTATTAATTGTAAATAAAAATATTCGCATGCATCTGATAGACGTAAATTAACATAATTACAAAAATCTTGAATCGGCTTAAATTTATTATTAAGTTGATTAGCAAGAATATGAATTTGATAGCTAGTAAATTTTTTATATTTATTTCGACCTTTTAATCTATCTTGATTGTTTTTCTCATATCTAATTATAAAAATCAAACTTCCATCTTGTTGAAAATTAAAACAATTTAATAAAAGTCGATAATGATTACTACCATGAAGTTCTAGTAAGTATACATTCCAGAAAAAAGCTTTCCAAGTTTTAATGCTATTTGTTTACCAGATTCAAGATATAACAAAATCTGGCAAATTTCTTTTGCAGTTAAATCTTTTGACTGATCAATTTTACCTAGCCCTTAATCTTGTAATTCTATAATTTTTCTATCTACAACATGATATAATATAGAAAATTAAAATTTATCATTGATATTCATATTCTTAATAGCAAAAACTTCAAAAAAGTAATAACAAAGTGAGGTATAAGCAGATACAATTGATTCTAGTTTATATAATTTTCTATCTTGTCATTTCATATCTACAAAAAATTCGCACAATTCTTGCTCAAACTGATTTTTGTCATTAAGTATTTGAATATTATAAGAAATACTCTTTTTATTATGATATTCTTGTAAACTTTGAACCTATTTTTGTATACAGGCATCAGTATTTTTAATTTTAGATTTATTTATATAATATTGTATATTATCTTCAGTTATATTATTAGAATTATTAGATATATTAAGTTCATGAGTAGATGTAAAATTATTTGACAAAAATATTGAAAAAGAGTTGATTTTTTTTAATTGATTTTTTTTTTATTTAAAATTCTATGCTTATCGGTTATGTCACTTTTATTAAAGAAATAATATAAAAGTATAATTGAACTGTGGAATAAATCAGTTATTGATCACGAAGCAAGTATAACTAAAATTTGATTCAGATCTGATAATTGGTCAATGATAAAATGGCATAGCCATTCTGTTATCGACCAATTATTAGATTTAAGTCAAATTTTTAGTTATTGCCCACTTCACAATCAATAACTAATACTTATTTATTAATCTACTTAGTCTATTTTATTTATAAATTATTTTCAAAATATATTCTCTTTATAAAACAAAACAAATTAAAAATATTGGTATGGTGACTTAGTAAAGTGGTAAAGTTGTCATACCTCCAAGTAGCACATTCAGAGTTTGAATCCTACTGTCGACAAAATTCAAATTTTCTGTTGTAGAATAGTTACTGTAATGATAAGTTAGATTGCTAATCTATAATCAAGATCATACCAGATATTCTATATCTGAAAAGATTATTAGATATTCATATAATATATAAGTTATACAAAGGCATGCAAGCCAATATTAGTTGGTGCAAACTCACAATAAGTCCTGATGATCTGTGTAAAGCCAAAGAATTGAAGTTACAGATACTTGCTTGGCAAGTCCCAAGTTAGAGTTAATACCTGAATCCAGATTTAATTATATATATCTAGATTTAATTGTTAGATCCGGATTTAATTGTTAGATCTGGATTTAATTGTTAGATCCAGATTTAATTATTAGATCCAGATTTAATTGTTAGATCTGGATTTAATTATTAGATCCAGATTTAATTTTTAAGTACTGCTAAATATGAGAGAAACCAAAGTTTACCATCTTTGATTATAGTAAGTTTAGTAAAATAATATTTTTTATACAAGTTAAATGTTGCATTTGCAATTTTAATATTTCTAAGTTATAGTTTCAAGATACTTCACTAGGCAGACAGAGAATCAGGTTGAACTAAATAATGCTCTTGTTCTATTTGGGTGGCGTCAAGAGAAAACTAGATTGCGATTATACAAATTCTTTATGTTCAAAGTCTGGTTTTCTCTTAGCGTTACCCATTTATATTTAATTACGATGAAAGTACTTTTAGATTCAAAATTGTAGTTGGCCAAGTGATTAAGAGCAACCTGTTTACTTATTGAATTATTTTTATGGTTTCATTTATGTGCTTTTGTGTATATAAAAATTGTACGTACGTATCATACAATGAAATTTTTAGACTGTAAAAACAAGTTATGTTCTCTTTTTAAAATTTTTTAGCATGTTACAATATATCTTAACTTATTAAATTTTATATTTAAGTTTTATAGAGTTCATCTCAACACTATTTTTTACCTCAAATGTGATTTAATTAAAGCAATTGTTGTTCGATGAAACTCTTTGCAATAGAAAAATACTGGTTGTGAATTTACTGGGCCGATTAGAGTTTATATTGATTTTCTTCTTAAATAATTAAAAAATATTTTTTTTTCTAGTTATAATAAGAAAGACTTTTATAAATGATTAAAATGCTACCAGTGTTTAGTTCATTGAGATTCTGTGCATTAATCGTATAAAACTGCCCTGACCATATTTAAAAGCCCCAGTTAGCTTGAATAGTATTAAAAGATACTATTTAGAGAGAGTGATAGATCAAATAGATTAAATAATATAGTTTACAGGATTAATATTATATTTACAAATGAATAATATTCTTAGCCTTTTCAAAAAACCCTTGCTATCCCGAGGGATAGAAATACAAATCGACTTGCTCACTTGTCATTATCATTAATCACTTATTATTATAATTTAAAAGTCGAATAAGCTGATTTTTATTTTTATCAAGAGATAATATAGAATGTATATAGATTTAGTGGATTCAATAATAACTTATAGGACTCAAAAAATTATTGCATTCGTTGATGAATAGTATCTTGTACTATAAAGATGAATAGTATCCTGTACTATAAGGTACCTTGTAATCAGTGCCGTATGATAGTTAAATTTATTAATAGAGTACGATTATTTCAATATATTAACATTTTTTTTAAACAAAAAAAGATGTATTTTTTTTCTTTTTAGTCAAATAATAAATAATAATTTTTTATAAATCACCAGAATTTTCAATTTTGAGTTTATCAACAATTTCACTTAAAAAATGCTTAAACCTAATAGAAAAAAAAGAAAAATTACCACAGCAGTACAATCAACTTTGTCCGTCGCTTCTGGTCACTTATTAACCCCAAGGGTGAATACTAGTTTTACATGCTTTTTTTATCAAGATGATGAAATTGATAATACAATTGTATATTGTAGACTTTGTACTCAAGAATTAGATGAATTAGACAGAATTCAAGCACAACCATATCCCTATAGCAAATCAGGAAATAGTACAGGAAACTTAGTAAAGCATTTATGTGAGAGGCATAATATAACTTCAAAGAATTATAAAAGATACCTCGATGATAATAAACAAGTAAACATCGGTTTTCATTAAATAAAACTATTAAAATTTTTAAATTAATATATTTTTTTTATAGCCAATAATTAATAGATCTGTTGAATCAACAGATCTTGACCTACCTTCTCTGTTATCTGCATAACAACAAGAATTAACAAAACTTGTTGTAGAGTTCATCATGTATGATGTTCAGCCGTTAAATATATTAAAAAATTCAGCATTTCGTAAACTTCTATATGGTTTTAAGCCTCAATATCAAATACCGAGTGCAAAAACTATTAAAAAATATATTTCCAAGGCTTACGCATAGAGAACAAACTGACTTAAAGAATTATTATTAAATATTAATACCATTAATTTAACAACAAACTTATAGACTGCTAAGAGTAATCACAGTTACTTTGGTATTACTGTAATATGGCTAACCTCTGAA